TTTCAAAATATAAACCAAAAAAAATTTTAGTTTTCATGAATTTTATGTTAAAAAATTTTTGTCATTCCTTTAAAAATGGGTGGACTGACAATTGCGGACGGTACTGTAAGTGTGTAAAAATGTCTATTGATTCTACTAGTAAAAATCTTGAGAATAAATATATTCTTTCCACGAATTGTTATGATAGTTCTAAATTTAACGAAGGTATCTCAAAGAATTACAAAGTAGGAGTTAAAAATATTACATTTATATAGTAGATTCTGGTGCTACCGAGCATCTTACAAACTCGAAAGAAATTTGTAATTCTTTTAAAGAAACGGAAAAGAGCATAATCAAATGTGCAAATAAAGATAGCAGGGCTGATTTAGCAGCCGAAGGCATAGGAACAGTGTGTCTTATTCCGAAAAATCAAAATAAGATTATTAATTTAAATAATTCCGTATATTCAGAATCACTTTCCGAAAATTTAATTTCACTGCGACATTTCGCAGAAGCAGGTTTAAAAACTTACCTAGACAACAAGACCGTGAAAATTTTTGATCCTGAAACAAATGAGACGCTTGTTTCTGGGATATATGATAAACCGTACTGGAAAATAAATTATAATATTAATAAAGACAATAAAAACACGAGTTCCAATTCAACTAAAGTATTTGCACTAGATACGGAAGTTATAGTTCGAAATTCAAAAAAAAGTAATGAAATTGAAATTGCTAATTTTCAAGAAACGACAATAGAAGTTGATAACGAAATTAACAAAAATTAAAAAAACATTAATGAAAAATCAAACGACAGTATCGTGTTAAAAGGCGAAATTAAAAATTTTTATGAAAAGGTAAGCTAAGAATCCACACGATTAACGACGGAAAATAACGCGATAAATAATTTCATGTTTTCCGAATTTGATACCTCAATTGCAAAACGAATAATAACGAACATAGATGAATTGCGTTCTATACATTTAGTTGACGAAAATCCACTTTCAAATAACTTGTTAAATAATCCGGTCAAGACAAACAAAGCCATATTATGGCACGTACGAATGGGTCACGCGTCGGTCTCATATTTACACAAATTAAAAACAATCTTGAAAGATAACAAAGAATTGCAATCAATAAATGTTGAAGACAGTATCTTAGATTGCGAAATTTGTAGGATTACAAAATCATCAAAATTACCATTTAAAAACAAAAGGAAATGGATGACACGACCTTTACAAATGATACACTCGGATGTAATTAGAAAAATATCTCCTCCTACCCATCCTCATGAATTCAAATATATTTCCGTATTCATTGACGATCGTTCACGTTTAGCACTAGCGTACCCTATGAAAACGAAAGACGAAACCGGTCATTGCCTTGAAAAAAAGGTGAAAGGTTCAACCAAACCATACAGAAGAAAATCAGATCGATCATGTTCGACTCGAAACTCCCATCTAATATTTGAGACTTGGCACTTGGAGTGTCAATTTACGTGTACAATCGCACTCCTCACAAGTCGATTGATTTTTCATTCGATATTAATCAAGTAAAACGATTTGGTTGCCTAGCGTACTGGCACATTACGAGAAAACATGACTCAAAATTTTCAGCATGAGCTGAATATATGCTATACCCCTTCAACAATTCGAGAACCGTATGAGACTCAAAGTCGAAAAATTACAGACACTAGTTTCATTAAATTCGAAAGAGGGGAAAATGACTTAAAGGAATACGAATTTCCAAACTTGGAAGATTAATTTCAGAAGACAAAAGATAAAACTAACGATGAAATTCTATATTGCCTTCATGCAGAAATTAATCACGATCCCGTGACGTTTAGACAAACAACTGATTCTCAAGAAAAAGAAAAGTGGAGGGAGACAATTAAAGATGAACTAAAATCATTAGCGGAAAATGAAGTGTGGTCAATAGTTGAGCGTCCAAAAACTGGCAAAAATAACAAGAAACCAAATATCATTGATTCAAGGTGGTTTTTTAAACGGAAAAACGACAGGTCAGGGTCAATTAAATTTAAAGCAAGACTGGTGATTCGTGGATTCAAGGATACAAATTCATACGATCTAAAAGAAAGATATGCACCAGTTTCCAAACTGACACTTGTAAGAGCAGTTCTTGCAATGATAAATCATTATAATCTTGAAGCCTGTCAGCTGGATGTAAAAACTGCGTTTCTAAATGGAACAATTGATGACGAGGTGTATATGAAAATTCCGGATGGAATCGAAGTTTCGGATGAAATACGACAGTCAAAGGTGTGCAAAATTAATAAATCTCTCTACGGTCTACGAATCAGTCTTAATTGATGGAATTAAAAATTTACGGAAGTAGCAAATTCCTTGGGATTGGTAAATAACGATTATGATCCGTGTTTGTTTACATGGAGTTCAGAAAATTCGATTGTCATTTTGCTGATATATGTAGACGACATGTTATTAGCTAGTAATAACAGTAAAAGACTCTACGAAATCAAAAGAAAATTAATGAATGCTTTTGAGATGACTGATTTAGGCGAACCAAAGAAATTTCTGGGAATGGAAATTCTGAGAGATAAAGAAACGAAAGTCATGACTATTTCACAAGAAAGTTATGTGGGCAAAATTCTGGAAAAGTTTGGTAACGACAACGAATATCCGATTTGCTAGCGTATTCTGACGCTAGTTTTGCAGATTGCAAAGGATCGGTTTCTACATGTGGCTTTGTTGTTCGACTATTTCGAGACACGATATCATTCGGTGATTAAATATTAAATTTGAAAAAGTTAACAATTTTCCCGAATCAATCTACACAAATAAATTAAATATCTTAAATAAATCTCGATAAGCTCATGGGCTTCAATGTATCGACAGCACAGCTGCCCTAATACAGAAACCTGCTTAATTTGAAAAATATTTTCGAAATTAATTAATAATTTCAAAATTATCAAAGAACTCAGAAAAAAAAGAAAGGTCGTGGGCTCGTATCCCACCATGCTACGGTTTTTTCTGAGTTCTTTGATAATTTTGAAATTATCAATTAATTTCGAAAATATTTTTCAAATTAAGCAGGTTTCTGTATTAGGGCAGCTGTGCTGTCGATACATTGAAGCCCATGAGCTTATCGAGATTTATTTAAGATATTTAATTTATTTATGTAGATTGATTCGGGAAAATTGTTAACTTCTTCAAATTTAATAATTAATATTGTTTCTTTTTATTAATTTTCAGAAATTCCACGAAGCAGACAAATAACTGATACTGGACCATCGAATAAGATGTCAACTTCCTTAAAACAAAGGACTAGTTAAGAAAAACTATGGAGATTGAACCCTGTGTTCCAATGATCAAGGAGCCGGGATTACCTTGTGATCATCAAAGTTTACTTAAATTATTTTTTCAATTTAACATAAACAAGAAATTATTTTTGATATCTACGATGTAAGAATTACAAGTTAAATTACTTAAATGCAACAAGCTTTGTCGACAGTAAATTTTTTTTGTTATTTACTTGTATAATTAGTTAATAAGCTAATGATTTATTAGAGCTAATGGCTTATCAGAGTCAACCTCGGGAGGGAGTTTGGTGTTTTTATATTTCACGCCTTATAAGGAGCTCGCTTGACTCCAGATATACTTCCTGTTCTCTATGCGCATGCGGGCTTTTGCGACAAAGACTTCTTCTCTTCCGTTTTATTCTTGCGACTGCTCACGACGTTCTTTTCTTAATAAACGTATTATTAATTCGACATCTCGATTATAACTTTATTTTCTCTGCCCATATACCAATTTGTCAATATCTATTGATAATTTATGAAAATTATAGTTATTTATAAAGATTGTTGCTGTAATTTATAAAAATATTATAGCGTGAATCTCAATAAAAAAATATTATTTGTATAAAAAAAGATAAAAAAATAAAACTATTATTGTCAGTGAAAAATAATTGTTATTTTGAAAGATTTTTTTAAGTGATTCAATTAATCAAATATAATTAATTTTTTTAATTAATTTTACTAAAAATCAAAGATTTTTTCAATGACAATCAGTTGTTTTTGACTAATTTAGAAGCGAAAAGTCAGTCACTGATTGTTAGTTAAAATTATGATTTTTAACTGATTAAAATTTATAAATTACACTTGATTCAAGTGATTCTCAGAAACTCCATATTTATTCCATAGTATGGCACAAATTGCGGCGAAATTTTATCAAGTGTTTGAGTCACACAGTGCCAAATGAGATGCCATATGGGATTTAGACAAAACTTAATCCATATAGTGGCGTAACTATGGGTAGAATCTTAAAAAATTGTAATCCATAGTTTTCTCACATTTGCCATTTCTACGCGGGAAATTAAGTAATTATTAACCAATTAAAATTAAATAGGTACTTAACTAACCGGTTTAATTAATTAATTAAATCTAATTAATTGCAATAAATTGAATAATTATGTACAAATTACATTAACAGGTAATAAATTAATTGAACAAAATTGACCAAATCTAGATTCCGAATTGCTTAATCCGAGTAATACAGAAGAACCTATTACAAAACGATTACGAGATCAATCAACTTCAGAATTAACTAATTCCGGTAATTGAAATAAATATAACGATAACAAACCTAATTTCGCAACAGATCTAATAATCGGGAAAATTCAAGATTTTTCAGGTGCTTTCATTTGCAATCATGTTAACTGCAAGTATTTTCAATTCATTATTACTAAAATACTTTATCTTTGTTACTTTTGTGAAAATTAATTTTTAAAATACCATCCAATTTTAAAGCGTGTAGGGTTCTAACAAGAGGTATTCTTAGATGAACCCATCAGTTTTGATTAACACTTTTGAAAAACTTAATATGCCAATAATTCTTAGGTGATAGGGAACATAATTAAATTTTGTAATTTTGCTACTTTTACAACATAAGTAGGGGCCTAAAGGATCTTTAACCTTGATAAGTAAAGGTGAAAAATAAGGTAAAACAAGTTGATACGTTATGGAACATCCACAACGCATTGCGATAAGAGTTTTAATATAATAATTTATTTAATAGTCTGTCAATTACAAGTATAGTATACGCACAAGCTGTTTAATTCAATTATTATTAATTATGAGCGTAATAATTTAATTAGACTTTATTTATTAAATTCTCTTAGGTAATAAACATTTAGACAGAAAAATTACAAATTTTGAGTCAAAGCATAAATAAACTTTTAACTTTGCATAATTTTTCATACTTGTCATCTCAATCAAAATAAATTCTCTAGAACAATAATAAAGTACATATTATTTGTGCTGCAGAAAAAAATGCATATAGCATCACTACTTAAATTTCAGTTTGCAAATTTTATTCACTTTATAATTTGTCATTTTTAACTTCATAAAATTTTAACTACATATTAACATGCGAATAAAAATAGCATATTTCATCAAATTCAAAAGCAGTGTAATAAATGGTAACGAAGCATTAAAATCTAGAAACATATATAATTTTGTGACACTTCAAAAGTTAGTTAATCCTTTGAGGCACATATTTTTAATAAACCAGAAAACAGTTTTCCTATTACTATTTGAATCTTTATTATTAATAAAAACATAAATATCATTTTTAAACGTGTAAAAAATTTTGACTTTTATAAACCTTTTTTTGAAGACTACTTCAAATTTGTTGTCTATAATTATAATCTACAATTAAATTTAAAATACAAGAAATATTTTAAAAATCATGATATGAGCAAGAAAATTATGTTTAAAAACAAAAATCTGTCATGGATAAATTTATTAAACACTATGACATAAAAGGTTAATGAAAGTCACCAAATTTTTTTATTTTTAATAAAAATAGTGTAGTTTACTTTATACTGATTATATAAATATCTTTTTTATTGTTCAGAATCTTCTTTTTTTCTGTATTTAAAAAATAATGCAAAATATCGCTATACAACTTTATAATTAAAAATTGGTTTTACGAGCGTCTTTCCGTATTTAACTTCCCAAGAAAGTTCTCGTTAAGTAAAGGAATATGTGAGCAGAACTATTGTGAAATTTGTATTTCTTTTTTAAAAAGACTAAAGCATACGTAATTTTAGGTTACTATGAGCGATTTATTTTTTCAAACATGCTTTAAAATTTTTTTAATAAAATTGTTGCGCAAGTTCCATATATATGAGATCATTTCACTTTAATTCACAAAGTATGTTATTTTGCATAAATACTGCTGCAATATTGCAGCACTTTTTACACCTTACTATTTGTCAATATTTTTCTTTAATGTTTTCTTTGTTTATCTCCTTGTAATTTGTTCATAGCAACAAAAATGTTACCAAAAATAAATTTAAACATTTAATTGTTTAAATATTTTTTAAACTAATTAAATGAAATTAAATTTTTTGTAATGATTTTGTTATCATTTTTATTGTTTTCAAAGGAAGGCTGTAAAATTGCAATAACTTTGTGATGCAATTTTACACCAATATAGCAATACAATGTTTTTACCATATTGCCATACAATATTACAAAAAACTTACAAAAGCAATCTTATGGCAAAATTGTATGACAATATTTTGAGAAATATTCGGTTCCTGTGAGGGTATGAATTTATTTTATGTTACGCGTATCTGCATTTTATACATCAATTAAAGTGAATGATTTACATTAATTTCTGTTTAGCACATTCTGGACAAATAATGTCTTCTGCATCGGTGATAAATCCACGACCAACCAAAGAAGTATTACATCCTGCACAAATGAAACAATCGTTGTGCCAATGTCTATCTTCAAAGGAAATAAAACGTGTTCCACCAATTCCTAAAAAAATAAATTTCAATGTATAAAATATTTAAATATTTAGGGCTTAATCCACCAACCTCAATTAAAAGTTAATCAATGATTAAAGACAGTTTAACGGCTAATGATTGGTTTGTTGAGGATTTAATCATTGATTAACTTTCAATTTGTATTGGTGAAACTGTCCCTTAGTCTTACAATAAAATAATTAATGGGTGGTTCCAACAACGCCAATTACAAATCAATCAATCAATCTTGCCAGTCATGTTTTAGTACATTGACCAAAATAATTATAATTAAGTTTTACAAAGTTTAAAAGACAACTTTTTTATGTTAACGATAATTTAGTAAATTATATGTACCTGTAATTGGTTTACTGCATGCTGTACATCTTTTAGCAAAGAGTTCACCAAAGCATTCAGCGCAATATGGTTTATCGTCTCGAGATGTAAATCGCTGACCTGCTAAGGAATTGTTGCAATGACTGCATGTAAAGCAGTCTCTATGCCATGGTTCGTTCTTGTATGTCACGCCACCAGCAGTAATAATCTAAAAATTAAAGTATAGAGTAAGAAAAATGTTGTGGGGAAATAAAGATTTTCAAAAACCCAACAAGGGTATTCACGAAGAATTAAAAATAAAACGGTATGGAGTATGCTATAAAAATTGGAGTAATCGGATCGTTAAGACATTTCAGTCATCTAGAATGCTTAAAGAAACAATCATTTCAACCATTTTCCACGTATTCCTGTTTCTCTCTTCGATATCATTTAAGACCACCAAGTTTAACTGTGTAACCCAAAGATAAGCATACAAGGTATGAGTAATATACTACAAATCAAATAACAAGATATTTAAGTTGCAAAACTCTAAATGGTTGAACGTCCCCTACAATTTTATGAAGAATTTCGGAATGCATTACTATTAGTACTCTCTCTAGACTCTTGAAGCTCTCTTGAAAGTTTTTTATACAATCATTTTTACTTCACACAATTAATAAAGTAAAATTGTGCATTAATCTACTAAAATAATTAAAAACTCGTTTATAATTTGAGAACAATGTTAACTGTACTGTACCGTGCCAAAAAAATCTAACTTAAATATTCTCTATTATAAACAAACTAATCAAAATAAAATAATTTTATCATTTTAGAAAATAAAAAATGAACTTTTACTAGAGATAAGATTACTATAAAAATAATTTTTATTCTGTTGTAATTAGATATTTTTCGAAGAGAACATTACAATTAATATCAATTCTTAAAAACAGCAAATAATTTTAGAATGAAATTATATTAATATGTAAAGTATTTACTAAAAATGAAAGACAAACCTTATTGCATTTAACACATCGAGTGGCAAATTTGTCTTCATAACACCCAGCGCAGTAGATTTCCTGTTCACGTGGAATAAAACTCTTTGTACCAATGGGATTCTTGCACACAACACAGCAAAAGCATTTCTCATGCCACTGACGTGTCTTATATTCCATTTTCTTAGTACCTGTAACAGAACGTAAATGTTTAAAATAAATTACTATTAGATGAAATGTATATATTATATTTATTGATTTGAGTCAAAAAATAAATAAACCTATTAAATCTTTTTAATTTTCGACAGTAAAATCTTTCGTCTCTATTTCTTATAGTAAAATTTTGTTAATTTTTAACACTTTAAGGCCTGAATTATTTTTACCAATTTAGTCTCCACCATAATTAATATTTAACGGTCTGTAGGATTGTTGATTTCGAATCTGAAGTCGAAATTGCGAAATTAAAAATGGCGGATTCAATATGGCGGACAAAAAAAAATAAATACATAGGATTTGCCTGAAACTTGCTACTAGGGGGTTTTTGATATCTCTGATTACGAGTTTGAAGTCGAAATTTAAAAATTGAAATGGCGAACGAAAGAATTAAAAATTAATTTGTTTGACTTTAAACTAATATGGTGGATGAAAAAATTAAAAATCAATTACATTAACTTAAGAATACTTGGGGGTTTTTTGGGAAACACTAAGTATTGAAACTGAAGACAAAATTTTAAAATCCAAAATTGATAGTTTTTGATTATTTTATCCGCCATAGTAGAAATTTGGTTACATTAATATAACAAGCCAATATTACGTCTTCTTGTGATAATAATAATAAAAAAGCACTTAATATTTATTTTCAATTTTTCGCATTTCATCAATTGCATTAAAAACCTGCTTCTATTAAACATAGCCTTCGTGAGAGAATTTGGGTAAATATTGAATGAGTCAAAGTTCACTTATGAAGTATTACTTTTCCAAACGGAGATATTAAAAAAAATATAAAATTGTTTTATCGCAATTCTTATTCTTTGCTATGTATTACTGAACGCGTAGAAAATTCAGTGATTTTATAACTCATTGTTTAGTGAAACCATAATTTTTTAAGTAGTAGCACATGATCTATAAGTAATGTATAACTTGTATAAATTCCAAATTAATTTTCTTAATTGTATTATAAATATTAAATATTTTACAATTTTTATCAGCTTTAGCTTTTTAATTCTAATTTAAATTAATATGAACTTCTACATAATAGAATTTTTTTTCGACTAAAGTTTCAATACAGAAGATTTTTATTTTTTCTCTTTTTTATTTAGAAAAGTTATTTAAATGAATTTTTATTTAAAGGAGTTTCTAATTAACGGAATATTAGACGAGTTGAATTTTAATATCCAGAATTTATATTTCTTCTCATTTTTACTTCTATCTTTAAGAATTCGATATTGCTAATGGACAAAATATTTTAGCTTGAATTTTAAAATTCATTAATCACAATTTTTAATAGTTTAATAATTTTATTAGTTTTTAAAATGACAATATAAAGATAGTTAATAAATAATAATATTAATAATAAACTTAAGTTTTCCAATTTTTTACAGCTTTAGTTTTTTAAATCCAATAAAAAATTTTCTTTTGTTTTTAAATATAATTATATTTTTTTTAAATAAACTTTTTTAAATTAACTTAGTATCTAAAGACCAATATAGAGATGGTTCTGAAATTCGTGAAAACAATTATCCGTCAAAATAGAAATTCTGAAATTTAAAAATTTTGCTGGTTTAAAATTGCGTAAGTTAAAAATTCTTCTAACTAAAAATTCGTTTAAATAAAAAATTTTCTAATTAAAAAATAGGTTAAATGAAAATTCCCATAATTGAAAATTCAGTTAAAACAAAAATTCTGTACAATGAAAATTTCACAAAAAGGAAATTTTGTCAATTAAAATTCTAACAGCGGAAAATTCTAACAAATGACCTTTGTGGGTTTTAACAACTAGATATTTACGCCAAATATCCAGTTCTATCTACGAAGTAGTTTTTAATAAATACTCAACGAAGCATTTTATAGAAATTTATCTTTTTATTTCTTAAGACTTAAAGTTCTTTGAATTTCAAAATCAGGAAGAACAGCATCTTTAAAATAAATTATGACATGAGTGCGTAAAGTGTGTATAGACAGATTTAAAAACATGTGTCATAGAAAATTGTTTACAATTCACTAAATACATTTAAACTTCAAAAAATAGAAACTTTTTGTTAAATATAATTACTTTTTATGAATTTTTTTCAAACTGTTTAGAGTTTATTTAAATTAATTATTTAATCTTTAATACATTACTTTTAGTATGATAAAATATTTCTAAATTAAACTTTAATAAAACTTCTCCTTCTTTGATTTTTTTGAATAACCCTAAAATGAAATTAAATTACAATATTACTTTGAGATATAAAATAATTAATTAATAATAAAAAATTATGGAAAATTAAAATGAATCATTTTTTGTAAAAAAAATATTTATTAGAAAGTAAAATAAAAATGATTTACTAAGTTAAAAATAGTTGTAAAATTTACTTATTCTTAAATTAAATATATGTACTTATATATAAGAGTGACAATTTGAAACAAAATTCCATAAATGAACGTGCTTAAAAATAAGATTGTGACCATGCTTCTTCTTTCCAATAAGGTTAGACAACATTATAAGTGCCTTTATATATCCAACTCATCTACATACATATATAGACATTTAATGGTAACCTGTCTCTGCCCACGTCTTATAACCAATTGGTGTTAACCTTAAGCAAATTTTCCAAACAGCTCGCCTTCATAACTTGCTTAAATGCGTTTAAGCAAGTCGATTTTTACAATTAAAAATTTAGTGAATAAACTTAATATAATTAATCATTTTAGATAATTTGATACAACTTACTAACCCAAATTTTAATATTTGATGAGTAATTCAAACTGCTATAAATTTTTTTATTTTTAATTAAATTTTTTATTATTATTATTATATTGTAGTTATTAATTATTATAATAATATATTTATTACCTATTATTTATTTTTAATTATTAAATAAATTTATTTTTTATTTTTACAGTTAATATATTTTATTTTAATAAAAATTTTCTGTTTTTCTGAACACAAAGTTTTCAAGTTATTTATGTATTTAATAAAAATCTTAAAGTTGTTTTTATTTCTTATAAAAAAGTCGATTGAAACTGATTAAAAACTGTTGTTTTCATTTATATTTCATAAGCTTGTCTATACATTTAATCCAAATTGAGTTTTTAATCGTTTTTATTTATTCTGAATTGTTCAAAAATTCATTTTGAAATGAAAATTGATGAAAATAATAAAAAAATAACTATTGAAATAATTAATAATAATAATAATTTTTAAAAAGTATCAAAAAGAGGTTTAATACTGAGGGAAAGTAGTAATAAAGCAGTTATCGAAAAAATAAATTTGATGACTCAATTTTTTCGTAATTTCTAAATTAAATCACATTCAAATGTAGAATAATTTTTTTCAATAAATATTTTATTACCAATCTATTTTTCTACAGGAATTAAAATTTTAAAACATTTTAATTTAAAAATCTACTGAAAAATTAATTATTATCTAAAATTTTAACTAAAATTTTAACTAAAATTCAATTTAAAATCAATTCTTATTAGAAAGTTATACGAGAATTGAATTATTTAAATACAAAACAAACAATTTTTTAATAATTGAATATTTCTTAAAATTGCATTCTTATAAGGAACGAGGAAATTCATTAAAATTAAACCAAAAATAATTGGATTTTTCTAAAGAGTTGATAACAATTTTAAAAAATAATTCAAGTCTATCTACAAATTTTATTAAACTTTTTGAAAAGTTATTAATCACCGTCAAGAAATTTCATTCAAATTTTATTAAAAATAATTAAATTTTTCCAAAGAATTTTTAAACTTATGAAAATAATAAATTGAATTCTTGATAAGAATTTTAACAAAACTTTTTTTAAATAATTTAATTCCTTTAAGAAATTTTATTGAAATAGAAAATATTGAAAATAATTGAATTTCGTCAAATTTTTGAAATTAAATAAACTTCTACGAAATATTTCATTGAAATTTTTTGAAAATAATTAAATTGTTATGAAGAATTTCATTAAAGTTTTTTAAAATAATTAAAATCATTCAAGAAATTCAATTATAAAAATGTTTTGAAAATAATTATTAAATACTAATAAACAAATTATGTTCAAGTTTGTAAAATAATTAAATTCTTGAGAAGAATTTTTAAAAAGTTTTTCAGAATAATTGCATTTTTCGAGGGATTTATTAAAAATTTTATTAAAAATAATTGAATTCCTGAGAAAATGTTTACTCTACATAAAAATAATTGATTTTTTGCGAAGAATTTTATAAACATTTTTTAAATACTTGATTTTTTCGACGAATTTTATGAAAATTGTGTTTTAAATAATTGAATTAAGGTAAAAATTGTATTATTTGTGAAAATACCACACGTTTACAATTTTTTGCTACTTTGAACAATTGTTACTGAAAATCGAAATATTATGATAATGAATTTGAAGTCAGATTTTAAAAATTCAAATGTCGGATCCAATATGGCGGACGAAAAATATTTAACATCTAACGGATTTGCTTGAAACTTATGACTCGTGGATTTTTGGGGTTGCTGATTACGAATTTGAAGTCAGATTTTTAAAATTAAAAATGTTGGATCCAATATGTTGGTCAAAAAAGTAAATGTAACATGTTTCAAGCAAATGCTATCGATTTTTAATTTTTCCTGCCATATTGGATCCGCTATTTTGAAATTTTACGAGTTAGAGAAACTATAACGACATATTCGAATTCAACGGAAAAAATACTTTAAAAAATGTTCATACTTTTTCTGGTCCAAAAATTGAATCAAATTTGTTTTCATGTGTACTTGAATGTTTGCATAGAATTTTATTAATTTTTTTTTTAAATAATTGAATTCTTTTGGTAAATTTTTTATTAAAATAGTAAATATTGAAAATAATTGAATTTCGAAAAATTTTTTGAAAATAATTGAATCGTTTGAAAGAATTTTATTAAAATTTTAGAGAATAATTTGTTTATTCAAATAGTACCAGATTGTAAAAAAATAGTAAATAGTAGCCTCGAATTATTAAAAACAATGGAA